GAATGCTGTTTAGCTCATCGGGAATCGCGTCGATGACTTGCATAGCGACTAGGTGTAGTTTCTTGTCTCGAGATGTTGAACTAGCTGAGAAGAGGGAGCTAAGAGGAGCATGCTAGAGCTTCGTCCGGTTACCGTCGTCAGTGACACTGCCGGCCGGGGCTATGTGAAGAGTGAGATTGTCATGCGCTCAGTGGCAGATGATTCTCGAATCCCCAATGTATCGCGGACGGCCGTAAGGCTGTTGGTATTGAACTCCGTCGATCCCACCCAGGGGATTGGGAACCAGCCAGGCCGTGTCTCTTGTCAAAGATTGACAGATGGCTGCCAATAAATTTACGGCTGGCCGAGCTCGCTGCGAGGTCACCCTCGCGATCAGAGGTTTCGATGATACGAAGAGGGCTGATCAAGTCACAGGAACTTCCATAGATATTACTTAGATTGATACAGCCATAAGAGGCCCATACGCATGCGAGACAAGAGCGAGAGGAGGATGCAGAAACAGCAGGGACAGAAAAGTTGCAGAATACTCGACGGATGATGTAGAAGAATAGTATCTTGAGGAAAGTAGGCGATTTGAGCCACTGGCGCTGTAGAGCTCTTGGCCTGCTGGTCTGTCATGACGATGAAAGAACAAGCCTTCCAGGTTGAGGCGAGACCAAAAGACGATGCTTCAACATGGGAGATATTCAACATACCCAAACCTTATGTCTCTTCCGTGCCCCTCCTTCCGGAGCTCTGCTTGAACGTGTAGTTCCCTCGCGACGGCAGAGAGTTGAGTTCTGAAAAAGACGAAATGCCACGACCGTCTTTTAGAGCGTCGGTTTCCTAGATATCATCGGCCGAGATCTCTCGACACACAGTTTTTAAAGACGTGGAGGTCAGTAATGTGGACGTTAACCAGAACCTCAGACAGCAACCAATCTGGGCGTCAGCGGCCACACGTTGGTAGCGAATGGAGTTGGTTATTTCTACATGTCTTGACCTGGCGAACAACCAGCCACGTCGATGAAGATCACGGCGATTCAGGAAGAGAACCCCCCCCTCCTCCCTTTTCCCTTTCCTGCGCTTTGCTGTTTGAGAGTAATATTACTACCGGAATATGGTAGAAACAGACAGAGAGGGAAGACGCCGATTAAGCGCCTGTATGCAGGAGCCAGAAGTACGCGAAAAAAAAAAAAAGGCCAACATTACCTGCTGCGCGAAATCCAGCCACGCGAGCTATGGCTAGCTCTTCGAATACTGGTAGCCAGCCTGTCCAGAATCCAGCTCTCGTACAAACGACTAGAGACATTCAGGAACTCACAGCCTTTTGAAAGCCCTTCGAAGTTGAGGAGAAGCTGTATAGAGGGGGGTCGCCCTTGTAATACAAATACATCCACAGACATCAAGGATACCGTTACAGCCTTCTCCATGCCTTCTGGTTCTCACGTTGCAAAGTGCGTTTCCAGCATAGTAGGTATGAAGAATCGCGATACTGTGAGTTCTTAACCGCATTATCTCCTTTCTCACTCTGAGATACGAAAGTCTGCTTCTGTTTCTAAAATTTTCCCATCGCGTAGTTCGCCCAGGTTCAATGTTCTCGAATACAAGTCTCTACAGTTGCCAAGTGATTTGAAGCTGGAGACAATCATTCGAGGTCGTACATGGCTGTTCCAAATCCGGTTTATGCTGGGTGATTCTGCCTCATAAACTGGAGATGTGCCACATACATATTATTCCTAATGACCTCAGCTCCCGTATCGGATGAGCAGGATCCATTCCATACAACGTGCCAGAAAACCTGCATGGTACACGATCATCGTAGAAGTAAGGCAATTGTGCTGCAAGTAACTTCCTAAAGCTCTCCCAGCTTCAGCCTCTACTGGCCTCTTGACCTGGTTGAGATATATTCTGCGGATCAGTCGCTGTTTTGATGCCTGTCACGGTAGCCTCTGTCACCTTTTAACTTGGGCACCCTGCGGAGCCAAAGTCATCGTCTCGACCCGAAAGGCATGCTGAGCTGTGGAGAGAAAAGAAAACAAAACTAGGTCCCGAGGGGTCTCGTTATAATGCTTAGGCCATAGCCATAACTTATGAACGTTGGCTATTTTGATAGACAGGGTGGTGGCCTCATTCCCGCTTGCAAAACTGAGAGTTGTCATACATCCGGTGACCTTCTTGGAGAGGTATCCGCACAATGGTCAATTTCGACGAAGATGATTGCTCATTGGTAAACATCAGTATAAATTGTGGCAGAATGCCTCATAACCAACCTTTTGAAGTCAACGATGTGAGAGGGCTATCATCAGCGTGGTTGGCGTACTTGAGCATATTCTTCAAGGTCTCTGACGAGGGTATTCGTTCGTCACCCCGTGTTCGAAATCTGACATATCATTCAAGAACATACGCTTTATTCCCCCATCCGTCTCCGCTAGGAGGTCCATCACATTGGAATACTCAAAGGCTACGGAAAATCTACCCAAAGAACCCAATGAACCGAAAGGCATAATCGCTAGGATACTGGAGAATCCTAATAGATAGCGTCATTGCACTTTCGGAAGTGGCCTTCTGAGACCGATTTACTCCGTGACAGAGTCAACTGGAGCCAGCAGGGATGCCCGTGCCAAACAGAAAGAGCCCATTTCTGGAATGGCCGTAATCTCTGATATAATTTTGGATTTCCGTTGACTACTAAGGAGTTTGGAGGGGGGGCGGGGGAGATGTTCCATGCCGCGAAGTATAGGAGCCCTGTACCCGTTGATAGATCCTGCTGAAGAGATCTCTTTGGAACAATGGATCAGAAGTAAGATGACGTGTTCCGCGAAATGAACCTGTTTCAGTCAAAAGAACCCCTATGGCTGTTGATCTTGACAGTAAAACCAAAGTAGTGGCGGGCGTACCGCCTTGGCGAGGTTGCTCGCAAGAAGTCTGTCCCCGACATATTGACATTACAGCAGCCATTCTGTTTCACCTGGTAAGATTGAGGTACGTCAGTTTCTAATGTTGTGTAGAACGCAAACGGAGCTCGTGCAAGACCAGACGGGGCTTTCAACGCTGATGCCTGTCGCGGTGACCGCATACATGACACCAATATCTCCTCAGACCATTTTGACAACTTCATAAAACACGTTAAAGTATCGAGACCACTAGGTGTTCGGCCATGCCTCCTATAAATCAGCGCGTCGAGTGAAAGCATTCTGCAGTATCATTCCTTTCCAGACCACGTCCGGATCCACATTGACAATGTACGTTCATCTTACAGCCCCATCTACGATAACACAGTTCGGTGGAATTGAGATTCTGACTTGCTCATTCAAATGAGAAGTTCTCTGAGCAACAAGCTATATCTACTTACCCACCATTAACCCCTTCTCATCCATCAAAGATCGCTCTCCCTGCCCAGGCTGCTGAACACTGCACTTCTTCCCTTTCTCAAAGACTTCTCTGTAGTATTATTGTTGTCACTCAAAGAAACTTGATACTCAATTACGTTCTCCATCCCATCACGAACATCTTTGACAATGCCCCCAAGACATCGAGCGGGGTCCGAGCAACTGAAGTCGGACGACCCGGCCGCCCCGCCCCACCCTCACCCCGCCGCGTCCTCGGACTTGCCCGGAAATCTTATCTTATCACAACCCCGCCCCGCGTCCGACTCCCCCTCCGCGGCGCGATATCTGATCTTCACGACGTCCTTCTCTCACTCTCACTCACACAACTCACGTCAACTCACACCAACTCACCGTACACCTTATAGCTTTCCCCACCTAAACCACCGAGCCTCCTTCAGTCTCACCAACATCAGCGATTCACACCTCTTCCCAGCTCGCCTCTCACACCACAGTCCTCTACCCTCGCCCAAGACACCTATCAACCTCACCAAAACACATCATCACAGCCCAAAATGCAATCCCCCCCTCCCCCAGAACTCAAAATCTCCCCGCCGCTCCTAAACTCAGCAAACCCATGGTGCACAACCCTCGACGACCTCCGTCAACTCCACGCATGCCCTCACACTGGCGCCCTCACGACACGAACCTCCCTCCTCGCAGGCTTCGCCCACAACGACGCAAGCCACCAATACGCCTTCTTCGACCCCTCCACCACGAAACCCTCCGCGGCCCCCAACTCCTCCACCCCGGAAGCGCCCCGTTCCCAACTCGGCCCCGCAGACGTCGCGTCCCTGAATAACCTGGGCTACTCCCCGTTACCCCTCCAAACCTACCTCGACTTCATCAGCCAACTTCCAGAAGGCCACGGCCACCATGGTCACCACCACCGTAAACTCATCATCATCTCCGTCACAGGCACCCCCTCAGAAATAGCACAATCCTACGCCCTCGTAGCCTCCTTCTCCGCCAAAACAGCTCACCCGCTCGCAATGGAAATAAACCTCTCCTGCCCCAACATCGCCACCGCCGCCCCGCCAGCCTCGGACCGCGCCCAGCTGCTCGCCTACCTCGCCGCACTCCCCCGGGACCCCCTCATCCCTATTGGCCTCAAGACGCCGCCCTACACCCACCTGGCGCACTACGCCGAGCTCATCGCCGCGCTGCGCGAGGACTCCACCGTCGTCACCCCGAAAGCCATGCTCAAGGTACCCTGCAAGATCAGCTTCATCACCGCCGTCAACACGCTCGGCTCGTGTCTCTTGCTCGAGGGCGACGACCACGATCCGCGGCTCCCGGGGTCTGGACTCGGTGGGATGGCGGGGGCGCCTTTGCATCCGCTGGCGCTGGGGAACGTAAAGACCATTGCAGAGTTGGTCGCGCGAGAGCCGGAGTTGTTGCACATCAAGGTCATTGGTGTCGGTGGCGTCTCGGACGCTGATGGATTCAGGCGGATGAGGAGTGTCGGTGCGTATGCTGTCGCCGTCGGGACGGCATTAGGAAGAGAAGGAATAGAAGTCTTTGAAAAGATAGCTTCTGGGCTTGAGACACATTAAGTGCGGCTTTGGACAGCATCCTAGAGTGTCATGATGTTCACAATGGCAATATGCAAGTTCGTACAGACGAGCGTGTGGAATGTTAATCATAACTTTTATTCATTGAACGTCATTATCATTGGGTATATAGCAATTAATATAAAAGGCCCGTAGGCCTATTGTCGCACAAATAATCGAAACATGTCGCTCGCTCATACTATCTGAGATTGATGGGTATCGTTGCTCCCCTCAGATCCTTTACTAGAGCCATTCTTTTCTTCGGAATGCTCTACTGCTGGTGGCGTAACGCTCTCGCCGTTGGTCTTCCCAAAGGGAGAAATCTTGCTGAAAATGCTGCCTCGCTTGCTCTTGGCTGCAATCGTGGAAAGCGTCCGCCTGCGCCTCCTGATTTGGCTATTGATGTCGATCTCGTCCTGTCCGGAAACACGCTCCTCGGGGGATATGTAGGAGTGTGCAGGGTCTGTCATCGTCTTGGCGTCGCGCACAAAGGCAAGCCATATGGGGTAGAAGCCTGTGAGAACGAATAGGGCGACGATGATGACGAAAGAAAGTTGCACTGATACGCCGCTGTTGATGACGGCGTAGACAATGTATGGGAAGAATGCTGCGCCTGAGCCGCCCATGGTGATGAAGGCGGCAGCACGCTTAGTACGCCTGCCTTGACCGCGAAGGCCGATGGCGAAGATCAGGGGCCAAACAGGTCCTTCGGCGAAGTAAAAGAGAATGACGACAATCATGAGGAGGTTCGGATCCGACGGCTGCAAGACGACAGTGAGGAGGGCGAACAAGGTGGAGAGACCGACGCTGATGGCCAGCCACGTTCTTGGTTTCGGCATGCGCGGATTGCGCACCGAGAGATATGTGAGGTAAGCAACAATGAATCGCGAAATGGCGAAAACACTGTGCGCAATGAGATGATAATCTGTAACTCCTATAGTGAGCCCCGGAGGCTTGTCACTGTTCTCGCCTGGGTTTGTGTCGGCATTCGTAGCCGCAACACCGCCGTCTTCCTGGTTTGGGAGGATGGCTATTGTGAGTGCGCGGAAGAAAATGTTGTTGCTTTCTTGGCAAGCGACATAGGTCCACTGACCGAGGACGGCCAGGATCAAACTCCATGTGCGCAATTGCAAGCCGCCGATGCTACGCTTCTGAGGATTGACTGGAAGCCGGTCTGCCGATTCTTGCAGCTCGTTGTCATTCAGCTCTGGGAGCGGCATGTAGTAGAAGAAGAGGCCTAGGGCGACGCAGAGCAGTGTGATGGCGAGGTACGTCCACTGTACGTTCAGCAACGTCACAGAGTCTGAGCCACCCTGGTTGGTGATCTTGGTGAAGAATACTCTTTGAGCCATAAGGCCGCTCAGAACGGAGCCCACGCCTTGTACGCCTTGGGCGAGAAGCAGTCGTGTTTCTCCGTACTCTGGCGGCCCGCAGAGAATCAAGAATGCGTTGGCTCCTGTCTCGAGGACAGACAAACCAAAGCCGACCACGAAATTGCTGAGCAGGAAACCGCCCCAGGACTTGGTGACAGCGGATGGCCAGAAAATGATGGTTCCTACACCGTAGAAGCAAAGCCCGACGATGAAAGTGACCTTGAAGCCACCAACACTCTCCGCGTCGCGTTTGTTGTTCTTGCGGTTTCTTCGATGATGTTCGTCTCGCCTAAGAATCCACTCTCCCACCAACAAGGGACCAAAAAAGTAACCACCGCCAAAGTAGGCGGTTGTGAGGCCTAAAGTTTGAGCAACAGTCATGCCTGACACGCCGGAGATGACGTTGTTGAGGGTGTTGAGCAGACCGTAGGAAATGCCCCACATCACAAATAGGATTGTGACCACCAGGCAGTATCGGAGTGATTCTTGAGCGTCACACTTGACCATGCTCTTGGGGCGCTTCATGTTGACAAAGCCGAAGTAAATGGTGTTTTCTCTGCTCGTTGCGATAGAGGCTCGGTTGGCAACGCCGCCGATCCTGCCCGCCCCGGTGGCCTCATATTCGGCCAACGTCATATCTGGTGTTGTTAAGAACTCGAGTGCTGTCATGTCGTTCACAGCCGCGTTTGCCGCTGCGCTCATATCTCGACTGGTTCGATGTGTTGCGGGGGGCTCTTGGATGTTGACTGAGCCACGGTAATTCGGACTTGTCGGTGATACAAGGCCGTCGCTGCCGGTGCGGTTTCTAGGGCTGTCTAAGGCGTCTTTTTCGGTCTGCGTGCTCGATCTCGTTCCATCCGGGTCGATGATCATGGCAGGCAAGATCTTGATGATCAATGGCTTGAGAGTAGGGATACACGCGCAAGCCATACCCACATTAACCTCTACGGCAGACCACATAAATGACAAGGACGAGTTCCAAGCAAAGTCGGGTGTGCCGCCAAAGTGAGAACTCGGATCGCTAGACACGCCGCCGGTGGGAACAGAGCTGACGGCTTGCTGTAGGTAGTAGATTCGGACGACGTCCACAATAGTGACGAAGATGCCGATAGTGAAGGTGAGTACGAGAATAATCTTTTGCCTCGGTGGCAACCGCATACCCGTGAGAACGGGGATTGGCAAGGCTAGGATGGCTAGATCGGTTACAATGTTGATGGGAGCAGAGCAGATGAATTCCGTCAACAGCGGGATGCATTGTGAAGTGTCCCGCCATATTTCCCATGCTGCCTGAACCGGCCGACATTGGAAGATGTTGATGAGGGTTAATACAGCCCCTGCTAGGTTGACAATGCCCAGAGTCACCCAAGATGCAAACCGAAGCACCTTTTTCGTATTTTTGGAGAGGCGGAGGTAGAAGATCAGAATACTGGTCTTGGTCGCCATCAAGGCAGGATTCTGAAATTGTGTAAGTAGTGCACCTAAGCCAGTGTCTCAGCAGAACAGCAGTACTCACATAGAGTATTGAAAAAACATATTCGCACGCCCGTAAAGAATTCCAGTGGCCCGAGGGTATATCGTCGTCGTAGCGACCCAAGCCTTTTCGTGTACCAAAACAAATGGTGAAGGACAATCCAAAGGCAATCATCCAGGCAAAGAACATAATCTTGTCGTCCCAGCTGACATTTCTGACAATCCACCGCCGGCAGAACAGACGGGCAGCAACCATAACACTCGCTAAGACGAATGTTGCAGCTGTCACGGCAAAAACTGCCGGACCGCGATCCGGGACGCTATCATCTGCGGCATCGGCAGATGACATGCTCGGCGAGAAGTGGCGACCAACCTGGGGAGCTCGAGGGAGATTCACCACCACGGAGGTTTGGCGAGGGGCGTAGGGTGGTTAACTAGACACCGATGACAACCATGCCATGACTTTGGGCTCTGACACATGGACGCAGTCGAATGAGTTCGTGTTGGCGCGCAATTCCGCTCGATATCGAAAAACCTCGGATGGATAGGGTCGGTGGTGGTGCAACTGTTCGCGGGGTGAGATCAGAAAAGCGGAGGGGTTCTAAAGCTTTGTTCTGGCGGATTCGAGGCTTTTTTGGAGAAAAAGTTCGGGGTTGGGCGAATTCGTCAGTGCAGAGTGCAAGTCCTAATGAATCGGGCGGAACGCAAAAGGCTGGAGTAGGAAAGTTATGAGTTTGAGCGTCGGGTAGCAGTCGTCCAATCCTTCTAGCTGCAAGCTTGCGCGAATATCTTCGTAACCGGCAGTTCGAGTGGTGTGTGATGTCCGACAAAGCCGCGGCGCGTAATTGGCAGGCGAGGATGGCGCAGCGTCATACAAGCCGTTGGCGAGGTTAGCGGCAGTGTAGGCGAAGACGGCCAGCAAGGCAAACGTAACGTGGGTTGCTGGCCGTAAGCGAGGGACACAGACAGACAGGGCCAGCAGGAGAAGCTCTGAATGTTTGGCGGGGGGAAAGAAGAAGGGGAGGAAAAGAGAGTCGAGATAGAAAAGTCGAGAATACGGGATGGGATAGTTGGAGCAAAGAACGACAGCTTTCGTCGAGGCGAGGTAAACCGTAAGTGATGCTGGGCGCCTCCTCTGCAGGCTAATGCTTGTCTAAGGTGTGGTGTCGGTTCGGTAATGGCTGGTTGGACAGTTAACTTGTGGATGGTTTGCGTTGATGGGGCCGTCGCGTGGGCTGGTGGACTCGTGGTCTTCTTTCAGTTGTCGCGGTTGCGTTCCCACCGCCTATGGCAGCCGTTGCAGAGTTTTCCGATCGAGGACAAAGGCGAGCCGCGATGGAGATTCGTAGTTCTGGCGAAAAGATACTTTAGTAGGTACTATGGGGTCCCTTGGTACAATGGCGCATCTGAGTGGGTGACGATGCGGATTGATGGAGACCAGAGGCAGGGCGGTCGTGGCGGGCTGAGCTCGTGGGAGTGGTAGAGCGAGATTGGTCGTGGGCCCTTTGGAGTCTCCAGTACCGTGGGAATCCACCGTGGCGGTGACTGACAATGGTCACTGGTTGACTGACTGGACTGGTTGAACTGAAGTGATGCGGGATACCTTGGATGACAAGACGTGGAGGACAGGAGGTGATGACAATCTTCCCGCAGGCTCTGACCGTCTGGATTTGAATTAGGTTCAAAACTACCCGTTGTGTGGTGTGTACTAGCAGATATGGTTTGATAGGCAAAAGGCAATAGTGTGCGTGTCGGGTCGGGTCGGTGGTCGATGGACGTCGTGAGAGGGAAGTTGAAAAAAAGAGGCGGGAAAATCAAACGGTATGTTGCGGCGGTGGAGCTTCCGCAGGTTCGGCGGTGCGCATTGGCGTGTTGGAAGTTTGGAACTCCTGTCAGTCAGTCACTGCGTACTGCGTACGTCTGGAAGTACTGCGTAGACTCAGCCGGTCTTTTCTCTTTTTTCCTTCTGCGAACCTTTTGCGAGGGCGGGAGGCAGAAGAGGAGGAGAGACGGAGGTAGCGTTGGGTTCTCGATAGTCCGTTCAGTGTCAGGTAAGCAGACCTCGGGCAATACTTGGCAGCTGTGTGCTTGGAGTTGCGAGAAGAAAGTACCCACGGCGTATGGAGTACCTTTGATACATAGGAAGCGCAGGTACTTGGCAAAAGAATGGAATGCGGCGGGCTTGCAGTAGCGTAGACACTACCCTAGGCCCTCCGTAGCCGGTACGGACTGGCGCAATAATGGGCGGTGGGCGATGACATAGAAACGTCGATCCTCGGCGCCCTGCAAGCCAATCAGCCATCTGGTCATGGCGGGTTTACCCCGGATTCTGGACCTTTTCGGGCCAAGTTGGACGAGGATTTCAATGGATTCCTCCCACCCCGACCCAGGCACACCCAGGATGAGAGATTGTGAGACGAGGAAAAGCTTCTTAGCCTCCTCCATCGCTCTGCTCCATGATCCATCTGCAAGGATACCAAAGGTTGCAGGGACTGTATGTACTGCGAGGAGAGAGAAAAAGGAAAGAGAGCACCTCAAGAGAGTGAGAGGGTAAGAGTAAGCATTGGGCGGCAAGTGGCCTAGGAGTAGGCGGGTTTCTACTTTGTAACGTACCTTATCCGTAAGAAACCTTGGAACGTAAATTGTCAAAGTTATCCCAATATCGGCACTCCATAGTATGGTAGGTACATGCTTTACTCGATACCCCATCCGTCAGGCAAGCCGCAAGGTGATGGTACCCGGAGCCGAGAGGAAAGGGAGGGACTCAGGGAGACCTTGAGAATTGGCAACCTTGAAAACGAAAGATACCAGTCATCCGCTCCACAAGATCAATCCACTCGAGAGAATTACTAAGGATGACTGCCCACAAAACCGGTTGTCGACTCGCAGCTTCCCCCCTTTCCCCTCAGTGGCTTCGCAGTATTCCTCCGTTGCGTGACTCCGTACGAAGCAGTGGAAGGCTCCCGCTTTTGGCCCATTGAGGGCGCGAGTCGGAAGTCTTGTCGTAGTCGAGACCTCGAAAGCAGGATCCGGCTCATTGGGAACACCAACCTAAAATCAGTCGACGGTTTTGCCACAGTTCACCCCTCCTCCTCATCCGAGATCCCCTTCCCTGCCTGGGAGCCGATGCTGTTCCGCCCATAATACGTCTCGTCGGCTTCTCTGTCTGCCTCGGCGATATCGTGGTGCAATATCGAGGTATTCCGCGGAGAGACAGGAAAAAACACGCAGGTGTGGATGGCGTTCTAGTAGAGTGGAGAAACGTCACTCTGTTCCGTGTTTCTATTTGCGGCATCAGAGGACGGGACATTGAGAAAGGAAGTGAGAAAATTGAAGACCAAGAAAACCCTTCGCCGAAACAATGCCCGAAGGCCGATGAGTGCCAAGACTTTTGTTGCCCAGGCGCTCAATGCAAAGCAAACCGCTCACTGCCAGATGCTGTGGCCTGTGGCCTGTGGCGGCAAATGCTTGGCTGATTACGAAGTGCGGTGCACCCGAAGTCGAATGTGGCCCCCAGCATGGCGCGATAAATGGACCGGAGGACGAGCGGGACTCGTTGGAACTTAAGCTTGCCAAAGCTGGGTGATAACCGATCTGCGGCCTGCCAATATCTGCTTCGCCTGACCAGCGAATACGGACCCCTTTGTCGATCGGGTGGAGGGATTGGAAAAGAGGAGGTGAAGCCCGAAGCTTGAAGTGAAGCCTGGAGGAATGAGTGGGAGCCAAGGAGCCACAAGAATGCAGGAAAAGGCGCAACGCAGACACGGCATAACTGAAAATCGCGGGCCAGTAAGAAACGCTCGCTTGCAGCCGCCCGTTTGTGGCATTGGTGACAATCGGACGTATCTGAAGCACCGTACGGAGTGAGGCACCTACCTACGAAGGAACAAAGAACGATCTCAGTTTGGGACGGAAGGAAAGACGAACGGGACGCTTGGTGGCGGTGACGGTTTTCTGGAAACTGCGGAGGAACGAACAGACATTCTGGGCAGGCACACGCCTGACTCAAGGTGCTCCTGCCATATCAACTTGGCTCTGTCTCTCACGTGCATTCCGGTGAGACGGACTTTTGCCATTTTGCCTCCTCGCTTTCGGAACCGTCAATTGATGTACACGCTACCTACATCGTGACATACATCGCATCTCGCATGGAACGTGTGGTGTCGATAAAGTTACCGACAACCTGTCACTCTACACGTCGGCCAAGGCAATCAATCGAATGCGATGTCACCTTCAGCCACGATCGGTATTTGAGCTTCCAATGAGAGTGTCCGACTTTGCTCGTCTTTGTTCTGCGCCTTCAACGGCGGCACATGACGTTGCCTCTCGCACCATCCCATGGAGGCGCCCAGCCGCCAACGCAACAATCCCCTTGTACCAAGTAGCTGACCTTTCTCGAATCTCGGCAACGGTTTGTCGACATCTCCATCTCTCCACGGCTACAATGTCTACTGTGTACAATATCAGTGCCACTATCCTTCCGTTTCCGGATCACCCTTTGACCAAAACTAGACAATAAACCCGCCCCGTCCTTTCTTTTGGCACTTTTGGCTCTGCAACAAGCTCACGGTGGCGTCCGTGCCAGAGAACAGACAGCGCCCAAAGACCTTGCGAGCTTCTAAATCATACCTCGGCTGACCTTGCTGCAGTATCACGGTCCTTGCTTTGCAGAGTCAATCCCAGTCATTCTCTACGGATACGTGTCGTGTACTCACTCAATCATTGTCTACGAGATTTGAGAGCTTCAACCATATGGCTAAGTCATATGCTTGATTCGTGAACCAACTGCTATTGGGAAGCCAGAATTTACTACCAACCCCCGGCTCGAGTCAAGAGATCGCCCTCATTCGAAACTGAACCTCGTCAACATTATGCCCGCGCCATGGGGAAACAACGTCATCCGAACCGTTGCGAAAGAACCTTCTTTTGATCTCATTGTATCAATCCCACGTCCGAGCACAACCCCCGATCCTAGACTCCACGGCGGAATGTCCACCCGATCAGCCTACCCTGGGCCAGCAGCAGTCTTGACGCTTGAGAAGTTGAGCCTCAGCAAGCATTCATCGATAACCTCCCTTGTGCCATTGTGGCCACGGCCCGCACCAGATATCGGATCGTCAACTAAAGCCCACCACGTAGTTTCCACCAACTGCAACCCAGAAGTTTCAAGATGATGGCCTTGAGAAAATTCGAACTGGGACTTTGAGGGACTTTCAGGAAAGCCCTTGTTTTTATTTTTTGTGGCTAATTGCTGCCCACTGACTGCTTTGCACCTTGTGACCGCCGTTACTGCAACAAACTGACCTGATGAGAAGGCCAAGCAACTTCTACGGGCTCTACGAGTCAGTCTCCGTGGGAGCACCCAACCTCGTACGAGTTTGACCCCTCCAAAGACTTCCGATGCCAAGAAAAACTGGCAGCTGTCCATGGAGGAAACGTAATCGGTGCGCTCACTACCGCCGGCAGGCAACCAGCTCAGTGTCTGTGCCATACGAACTCACGGTCAATGTCCGTTTCGCTGCGACTAGCCGGATTAGAGCAGGGCGAGCATACTTCCCGATGCGACCAAGAGAGCCTTTGACGGGGCGATTGAGAGTTCCCGACGATTACAAGCATACCCACACAATATATGCTACGCGCACGTTTCTTCAGCAGTTGCATCCCACAACCTACGATACTGTCTGAAACTTTTGAGCAGCTCAACCGCCTAGCTGCCTCGGTCTGCCTCGACACCAAAAACAGCATACAGCACTTATTCGGTCTACCTTGCGTCAAAGCTTCCTGGGAGTCTCCATGTAATAATATTTCTTCTCGGTGCCAAAAGTCGATCTTTGTTTAATTTGGCAAAAATAATCCGAGAATGACGAATGTGCATAGCGCAGGCAAACATTGTGACTTACTTCTCATGGCGGCATGGCACATTACGATTAACGCCTTACAAATCCACAATAAAGTAAGCTATTGCTGTGTATATCAAGCAAAGGTGATCGTGATCTTCCGTCTTACGTATAGGGCGGAGTCATTCATGGGTACCATAAGGACGGATTCATCACAATCACCTTTCCAGCCTACCTTGAACAGGACGTCCCTCATATGCTCTCGGACTACCCAGCCATATGTTTTACTGCCATCAAAGTCTTGAGTCTCCCAAGTGCATCTAGGCGACTTCATCTGACTCGTGGTCGCGGCTATTCATCCCTATTCAACCAAACAAGGTTCCGGGAGCCAATCCGCAACTTACAAGCACCCAATGGGCAAGTCTGAGGTGTCAACCCCCGTGAATCGCCGAGTCAGCTTCGATGTTTTGACCTCTGTCTCCCGTGTTTCGCTCGCACGTGTGTTATATGTGACCGCGAACACTATTTGATTGAGAGAGTGGCACATTCAGAGGCACCTTCAGCCCTACGGTAACTATCGACCTACGCAGTATTAACTTGTGGCAGCATCGCCCGCTAACTTCTCGGACTAGCCTATAGGCAGAAGCCTGTCCTGCCTGAGCTTGCGAATTGATGGGTAGTTAAAGGTATCTTTGTCTTCTGGGTTGGCGGCGACGAGTGTTTCTACTATAGGAAAGTCGTGCCGCAAACAGGCTGAGGCTCTGTTCGCGTCGTGTCAAGATAGGGAGATGGCGGCTGGAAGGATTGCAGTGAGCTGAGAATACAGGCACGTGGCTTCTGCAAGACTGCCGGCCGCGAGACCAGGTCGGAGGTATTCACAATGACTTGGCGAAGGTGCTCTGCTCTTGATATATCAGCTTCGTGTGCTCTTGCTGGGTACATATCCTGAGGATGATGTATATGGGCACGCTGAAGGGGGAATGACTACACGCCTCTTTCTCTCTGCCTGCCGTTTCCTTTCAAATGAAGATTCTCTCTCAGTGGTCTGCCTTGGCCATAAGGTGCGGATCACAGTGCTGGGATCTAACATTTGCTTGGCAGTAGTTTGGCACACCCTCGCTTGCTTATTGCCTCTATGATGGCAGGCCTTCCTGTTTCCCGTTTCCGAGACACTAGTATAGCCATTCTCAGTTACGTGCGATTGACTGTAAACAGGGCTGTGTTGAGGTTTCTCGACTGAGGCCAGGCTCCAGATGTGGTTCATAAGTTGCCTGTTGCCGTATCCAAGTTGAAATGACGTTGGACGATTCTTCCTTGGTCTTGCATGTCAAGCAGAAGGTCTTCCAGCCCCGAGATGTCATCACTCATTACACGACAGAGTTTATTTCCCTAAACATTTAGCAAAAGTTATGACGTTTCATTTCGCCCGAAACTTTGTCATCGAAGACGTCAGGAATGCTGTTAGAAAATGAGGCTGATGCTGGACAATGTGAGTGGGACTATTTGGAATGAGAACGTGTGAGTTGAATGCCTTTTGTGAGGTTGTAGGTTCCGAATGTCAGTTATGGTGGATACCTTCAGTATATTCACGCCGTCTTTTCTGATTCTATTTGGTTCGAGATCGACTAACATACTTCGTGCTAATCTTTGGAGGACAAGAAGTTGATGACAGGTCTCATGCGTCCCGGTCATCGTCAGAGGTGATCATGTTTCCTTCATCGCTTCTCATACCACATAGCCATGATTGCTAGTCTCTTGTAGATCAGCACAACTTTGTCACTGAAGGACTTTTCTGTATGTGACCCATTCTCGTCATAAAAAACACAGGAGAAGATGCACACCCAGACCGACTCGAGAGCCGTGATGCCAGTCTAGTTTCTTAGAGGGCTATCGTGGCATGTCCCGCTTACTCACATGAGATCTTCACATTCAAAGAGGTGAAACATTCATTCTGATCATATCTATATAAGCGCTCGATCAGTGGGCACTAGATGGGGGCTTGCTGTGCGTCGTTGTTGACTCGGCGCTGGCCCTCGGAACTGAGCCTTAGAGCCATGAGAAGGAAGCATCGTGGGTACCACGCCAGCTCTATCTGTGTTCTTGTTTCATCGTGCAGTTGAGAGAGAAACCCGCACGTGTCTCTATCAGTAGAATTCCCTTCATCATCAGGTACATGAATTTAGTAGATGATCTTGACCACATCAACCCCCCAACCGAGACACCATAAGGGCAGTAGCCTGCCTGATCTTGACCTACTCACTATTCAAAGGGTCGTGAAACACGTTACTCTTCTCATTGCCAAGCTTACCGCAGCAGCTTCCTTACCCTCGAATCGAGGCAGGTTATGTAGACCATGATACTGTGTGTTGAGGCTTGTTATAATCTGAGTAGAATTCACACTACGAATCCAACAGCGAGGGTAGAAACATCTTGATGGAATTGTACTATTCATCCTTCAGGGACGGCGGACGAGTTGCACGGTCAAATAGGCATGGCGTACGAGGGGGTATTTGAATGCAGTGGAGAAGAGTAATGGAACGCTTCAACATGCAGTCAAAAGCTGCATTAGACTCAGATCACTTAATTCATCTTGTTCAAGGAAGGGGCTAGACTCAAGGCATATGTTCAACATGTGTGCTATCTCTGCTGGTGCTTTTCGAAGCACTTCCTGAAATCTCCGATGCTGTACAATCAAGACATCCGGAACAGCTTAAGTGGCTAACATCACATTCTGTGAATTATAATCGGGGTCTAAAGTCGTTTCAATTCTGCTCTTGATTGTCTGACTTCTACTATCACTCCCGGCTTTTGCCAATGCAAAGCTGGAAACCTCCATGGTACAAGATCACGTTTGCAATGTCGGCATACTAGACGCAGCCTGGCGGGAAGGGGTACATCAAGCTCTTCATAGTACGATTGGGATTACGGAATACCGCAGCGTGACTCATTAAGCAGCAAGTACCTTTCAGTTGACTTTGCAACTAGAGGGGCATTCCGCAACCTATCTAGACTACCCTTCCAAACTGCCTTATATGTCCTCATTCAACGAGGAAAGTGCACAACTGTGCCATAATAAAGTCCATGCCTAGTCTCTTGTAACCAATCTTCAACGTCCTAAGATTTGAACCAGATTCAAGCGGTTGGCCCTCTAACTTGAATAGAGCAGTGTATCCAAGTAAGTGCAAGTTTCCAGCTGCGTCCCAAGAACGCAGCGCGAATCTGCGGGGAGAGCAAAGTATTCAAGTCGAGTTGTCACTAGACTCTTGTTTATATGACCATGCTCCTCCATCAATTGAGCAACCCTGGGAGCTTGATTAGCTGAGAGATACAGAAGAGGGCGAAGCCTTCCTCTTCCGGGAAACCACGGCTCTTGAGTCTCTAAGATGGTCTCGGTTCTCTCTTCTAGGGCCGAATCAAGGAACGACTATTGGCTATGAATCCTCCTGTCTCTTGCCAGTGATACGAGAGCGATTCTGACATCGCGTATCAGCGGCATAACGTTCAAGCAGTCTTCTATAGGGTTTCTGGAGTACGTTAAGCTGTCAAGTCTCAGACAATTTGCTGGAATCTTAAACCAGGGCCCAGAACACTCTAGGTACGGTCACCAACTATAGTATCTGCCACACCAAGCAACGAACTCTCAACCAATTAGTGCCATCACATCACGATAGACACCTCGTCGCCACCTGTTCTCCCAATCAACCTCTTCCAAATCCATAGTATTCCCCTTCCGACTGTATCATCCCCCCGCAAACCCCACAATGTAGCATCACGTCGTACAACCTCCAGGGCTTCAATCCCGGGCATTCCAAAGGATGAACAAACTCCGGAACCAACATCCTCAAGCCCTTCTCAGTAAGAAGGGGCCCCTTACCCATCATGCGCGAGGCGCGCCGCCGATCATGCGGGTGATACCTCCCGTCCAACTTCCGAAGGTTACTCAACCCACGGAAAACCAACATCAACCACAAGACGACCACCAGCCGTCAGCGATGTCCTTTTCCACCTTTCCGTTTCCATATTTTTTCGGTACGCTGGCTGGCCCTCGCTAAGCAACACACCTGTGACCTTAATCCTTCATCCTATCGATCCTTCTATAAGACGATCGTCATATCAAAGCACCCTTTAAGTGCCCCCTCACCCTCTCAGCTGAAGAAACATCCCAGTCACAAGCGCTAAACCCAACAGCGAACGAAGCCGTCTTGGAGCTATTGCTTCTTCTTCTATTTCTCTTCCCCGCATTATTATCTTGCAGTCGTTTCCCCTCGTTCTCGCTTTAGTACGACTACTACCTCGCCAGGCCTAACGGTGCCACTTGCTGACCTCACCTGAGAACCCCAGACACCTCCCCCACCAACACTGATCACTGCGAATCCCACCTTGTTCTCAAATGTAGGTACGGAGTATCCGCACTCCCGGTCACGTCCGGGTGGTCCTTAACCCCAACTTCAATGCCACCTCATTACCAAACCCCATAACCTCCATAAGAAAAGCCGCGTTATATCCCCCTCCCTTTCCTTCTCCGCTCTCGTCACCACCGGCGCTGCCGCTGTCGCTTCTTCCCCTCCTTCCACTTTGAGGGCCTAAGATGCGACGGCCCGGTGCTCCGTGACAAGAAGAGACAGACAGACAGAAAATCACACAGAAGGGCCTCAATTATGTCCCATTCTTTGTGCTAATTTGCCCTGCCACCCCCCTCCCTTCCATCCAACTCAATCGAGGAGCCATGTAACCACGGAGCCGCATGCACCGTCCCTACACACCCTCTTCTTCGCCAACGCAAAAAAGGGAAAGGGAAAAGTCAAGAAGAAGAAACCCTGATCTGCAAAGGAAGGCCCAGACTGTGCCATTCATTCTTCTTTCTCTCGAAACACGTTGCGTCCCGCCTGCCAAATACCGAGGCTGGCTTGGACTTGGGCTTGGCTGTGGCTTGTTCACAACAAGGCAACAGGCATCGAAAGCTCTCGCTGATTTGACCCGTTACACAAGAGTACTTCCTCTCACCTAGCACTGACGGCACGAGACCACACCTCCTCGGCTTCCCCTCAATTTCCCCTCATTCCTTCTCGTTCTTCCCCGCCATGCGCCACATTTACTGGGGAGGATGGGTTTAGCGACGCACCTCGGTGTTGGCGACCGAGGTTCAACTAGACTCTTTACCACAGCACAGCCCTTTCCCCGGACTAGCCCCAAAGCCTTAGTTTCTCAGATCAGGAACAGGACTGTTGCTTCCTGTGCAGTGAACAACTGCCAAGATACAAGCAACAGTCAGCATGTCTTTCTGTAGATGCTGCTCCTCAAGTTGGCGAAGGTAGCTAGCTAGTCACGCAAAATCCCTTGGCGATGTTCATTTCCATGTGTGAACCAACATCCGTAATCTTGGCAACACAGATGCCGTAGAAAAGATATCTCGGGGAATAGTGCCATACTTGCAGTAACCGTGGTTCGGGAACTCAGGGGTCCGATCGGATCAGACCCGATGCGTTTGAACGGCGTAGAACGGCGCCATGTCGGTATTTGATTCCTCACGGTGTACGGCAAATAAATGATGTCAAATGCTGGGTAGTCTATGCCGGAAATTGTGATGATTTTGGTAAATTTGTTTGAATTGTCTGTGACAAGCTCTGATAAGCGTATACTTGGACGAGTCTCGAACTCTCAAAGGCTCAAAACACCTAAGCGGGCCACTACAGGGCCTATGAGTTGCCAAGAAGAATGGCAAACCCTCTCCTACTCTTTGAAACAACAGACTCTCTCTTCTCAGTGGAGAAACCCTTAGCCAGAAAGGCATGGGACTCTACGTGCCTATTATTCATCTTACACGTCCCCCGAGTAAACAACTAATCCAAACTCCCACGCATGCTAGGTCATTCCTTCATCAAGCTCCCCCAGAAGTACCGTTTCCATCCTCATGAGCCTTTTGTTTTTTGTTTCCAAATCTCTAAAATGATGACCTTTGCCCCTAAGTGTTGACCCCAATATCCAAAAGGAAATTTCGCCTTCAAACAAAGAGGTGTCGTAGTGCGGGACGAATGACCGCGGCCGTTGACTGAGAAGCCGGAACCACATGAAACCATTGAATCGTACAAATTCCTACTGCGACGCTCCAGTACCACCGAAAAAGAAGTCAAGCTCACTGCCTGGGCCCCGAGCGAATTGGTGCTCGTTCTCCGCGAGTTGCTCCAGGAGGCTCAAGAATGGATCCTTCTCCTCACCTGGGCCGGTGCCAGTGCTTCCGTTGTTGCTCTTGTTTCCAGGACTGGGCGCGGCGACACCGGTTACCTTGTTTCCACCTTCATCCCCATGCCACGCGGCTGGACTACCAAATGCATTTGTAGGCAGCCCACCGAACATGGGATCGTTGTAGTTGGCCCCTACCTCAGTGTTTCCACTTGCCCCCGGTGTGGCAAAGCTGAACTGTGGAGAGAAGGAGTTTGAAGAGAGCGCCGGCATGTTGGCTTGCTGGTGGCTCTGAGGTCCAAGAGAAAAGCCTGCCGCCGCCGCTGCCGCCACCGCCGCGTTGTTGGCCGCGGTTTCGTCGTATTGTCCGTGTGAGGCAGACATTGGAGGGTGCTCCATGGTCTCGGGATGTGGAGGCAGAGATGTGGGTGTCGCCAGCATTCCCGGTGACGGATGAGATGCCATGGTAGGGGTTGGGTGTGAAAAGGAGTGGCGGACATGAGAAGGTGTTGGTAGGCCATGAGGGCGCGCCATATGACTCGTGCTGAGCGGCGAGAGGACTTTGGCATCTGGACGCTTCCGGCCAGATGGGGCTGTATTCTTGCGCTTGAGGCTCGGTCGCTCAGGCTCGTTTATGCTGTTGGCACGAGGCGCGTAAAGATCGTGACCCGTGTAGGTGTCTGTGGTGAAGTCGACAATCACATCAGAAAGGCTCAGATTTGCCGCGTCAAAGTTGAAGGTCTGGCCGCCGGGCCCGCCAATGTTCGAGTAGCGATCGAAAAAGTCCTCGAGATGGAATGCCGGAGAATATCGCATAGGATTGTTTGCAAGGCTTTTGACAAGTTCGGAATGCGCATTGTAGATTCCTTGCAGTGTTTCCCTCTGATGTTGGACACTTGCCCAAGCGTATCGGAGCTCGCTCAGTTGCTGCATCTCTCTGGACAGAAAGTCTGCTGACATGCTGAACACAGTCGAGTCACCATTGCCATTCTTGTTGTAATGAGCGCCGTGAATGTGAACTGTGCCAGCGGTGCATATGCAATAGCCAACGAAAGCCGGCCATTCGATTGTGCCGGTCTGCTTTCCAAGTTCGACCAGCTCAGATATTGCGTTCGCGTGCAAAAAACACATGTTTGTTGCTTCAATCTGCCAAGATTGGTGCTGACCGGTTCCTGCGAGCTCGGCGAGGTCGATGGGGAGAAACGGCCTGTAGATGAGGCAGTGGATGAGGTGATAGATGAGCTTGCTTAGAACCAGAATCGTCGAATCGGGTTGACCGAACAGCGTGTCGAGGCTCGAGAAAACGTCCTCGGTGCCGGAAGCCCAAATGTCCAAATCTTGACGAATCTTTGACAGATTTGAAAGTGAGTGCCACGGAAAATGAGAATCGCCCTTGACACCTCCAGCAGCCAGGTAGCGATTTGTTATACCAAGAATCCGGCTGATGTCGATGAGCATTCCCGTGCTACCTTGAGACTTCTTCCCGCTTCCCTGAAGAAACTGTAGATTGGACCCAGACTGAAAGAATTCGCCGTCGATCGGGGGTACCGAAGGGTTTGGTGACCAACACGGAAGTCGGAGAAGGATGGTCTTGTCGCCGATGAGAGATGGACGCTTGGAGCCGCAAGCCAGGAAACGGTCGAGTAGGTAACATGTCCAGAAAAGTCTCCTCCTCATTTCTCGCTCGACTGGCGTTACGCGTGCATTATTGTCCATCTCGCGATGAGTTTCGAGAGCCATTGCCATTCCAACTGCATTTGCTGGACATCATGTTAGCATTTCAATATACAGTGTGGCACCTAATTCCCTTAACCTACTCATCAGCATATACGCCTTCTTGCCTTTCCCTGCTGCGGTGAAGGCAATGACCAGCAGAAGTAGAGCCTGCAGAGCGTCAACCGAAGGCTCATCAGTGTCAATCTCTGCTCTGGCACGCGAAGCGAAGTCTTCACTCAGATGTACAGCAGACTGGTATCCACTAGGGTGTGGTGTGTATCTATTGATCCGGTTAGCAACTTCAGTGAGCTGTCGATGCTCACACTTACCTTGCAGCAACGGCGTAGATCCCGTGAACTAAGTAATTCGGTAATTGGTTTAGCTGAAGTCGTTGCCGGACAGATGATTCGTCTAAGATGTGATAGGGCTTGGAGTGAAACCGCGAGAAGTAGGTGTCTAGTAACGCGTCGGGTTGGACGGTAGGTGGCGAAGGCTCACTGGCAAAGTCAGTCAATTTATTTACCAAAACTTCCTGCTCAAGCATCATGACCTACCTTGCCGGGGCTGGCGAGTAAACGGCAGACTCGTCAGCGTCTACTTTGGTGTCCAATGCTATACGCTTGGGATTTGGGTCATCGTCGGGAATGTCGTCTGCTCGTGAAGTTTCTTCATCCTTGATTCCGGCGGTAGTCGGCGTGGTCGGGGTCTGCTCTCCAGCATTCTTCTCTTTTAATTTGGCCTCTAACCCATCGACCCTCTTCAAGAGTGCTTCCAACACATCCGTCTTTGGCCCACGCTTTTTGGGCACGGCATCTAAAAGCAAGCGTAAAACACATCAGCCTCTTGAAACCTTCCCTAGTTCCATCTTTTCATCTATACGCATGTAAAAGATTGGCTCACCGTATACGCAAGGGCACTGGAAAACTTGACAGGCCTCACAGGATGGGCGTAGCCGGTTGCACTTGATCTAATGGTTGTATTAAGTTAGAGAGCGGCTCTATGGTCTTGGGAATTACCCCCCTCTGGTCGAGGCTGAGAGGCCATCACGCTGTCTCACCTTGCGCTTGCGGCATGATTTGCAGTTCATAGACTCCCGAGGCTCATTGCTTAGTCGCCGAGTCGGTAGGCGCTCAATACCGACTTGAGGACGGGACATGGCCACAGGGTGAATACCGGGAGGGGGAAGTCCGTTCATTGATTCGTATACAGACATCGACATCATCCAAAAGATTGGGTTGGTGATTGTAAAAAGAAATCTATGGTCGTCGAACGTTCGGAGCGGCGCCGGTAGATGTGGGGTGAATGAAATTCAGCTGTTTTCAGCAAGCCGAATAGCTAGCGTACGCCGGTTGGAGGGCAAAGCTGTTGTTGATCAGGTCATATCGAGGTGGCTTCAGAAGGGCCTGGCAGTTGTCTGGCCGGGCTGTCGGGAAGCAACTGAGCTGAGTTGAGAGGCTCACGATGAAGTGCAGAAGCACAGAAACCAGACAAGAGGTCGAGCTAATGGGACAGGGTCGGGGACCGGTGAAGTTATGAAGTAAAGAAAGGCAAAGAGGTTGCCAGGCCGGGCCTAGCAGGTAAAATGATGACTGTCTTTCCCCCCAGCAGTCGTCTAGGAGGGAGTAGACATGTGGAGGTGGCTAGTGCAGCCGACTGGGGTGTGTTCGTCTCTCGTTATTCTTGCGTGGAAAGCAGTTCGGATGCATCAAGCACAAGCAGCAGGGGATCAAAAAGGAACGGTTACAGAACCAGGGGGAAGAGATTGACAAGGAGCTCAAGTCCAATCAAGGCAGAGGAGAAGGGGAGGTTGCACGAAGGGGGCAGAAAAAAAAGAGAAGAAGGCGAGCCGGGGTGGTAGCAGTGGACACTGGGCTCTAGAGAGATTCGAGGATGTCTGCTGTCCAAGCCTGGATCACCTCGCAAAGTCTGGCAGAGAGACAGTACCTTAGGTATAGTGTGAATGTGTGAGCGCGTGAGGAGAGGGATACGCAGTGTATCTGTACGGATAGGTTGGCAGTTGTCAGGTAGTAGCTTGGAGAAGAGGAGGAGGAGAAGGAGGCCCAAAGAAAGGACCGAGGGAAGAATGAAGGCGCTGTGGAGAGAAAGAGAGGCACAGAGGGAGAGGAGAGACTAGAGGCACCACGGAGTGAGACTGCAAGAAGAGGCACTCGGAGCAAGTCTGAAGAGGGGGGCACGATGTTGGGGAAAGATGGGGCAAGGCAGGTTGCTGCTTCGGTAGCGTGGAGGCCGGGGTAGGGGCGGTTTGATCACAGAGGCTTGTCTTGTTCTGTCCAAGGCCTCGATGCGACTGGGGAGCCGGGCTGGTGCTGGCAGACTGGGATGACGCCCGCCGTCCCTTGTCTCGTTTTCCTTCTTTTCCCTCGCTGTGCCCCGGACGAGAGACCCAGTCATCAAAAGACGGGTATCCGCTCTGTAATTCGCAAAGCGGCACTGCGAATGGCCATCCCGGAGTACCTGGCCCGGTACTTTCATCCAGGCCTTCCATGGTGTGCGGTGTATCCGTACGGGCGAAGTACATGGTGAGAATTGCTCAGATGTCTTCCTAGCCGATGGGTAGCTATCGATGTCTGAAGATACTTCATCTTCTCATCCCCCGTCATCTGCCGTGTGGTGACTTCTTCGACGTCCGGCGTACATGGCCCGATACCGAATCACACATTGATCTCAGGCGGCGTTGTTACGGTAGAGAAAGCTGCCGTGATGGTGTTGAGAGTGCGCAATGAGTCGAGGCAAGAAAATGTAGAGGAACATCCAGGGCAATTTTTCAAAAAGACCCTGGGTAGAGTTAATGAACGACTCGTGGCGAAAGGCAAAAAAAAAAAAAAAAAAACCACCAGAGCCGGACAGGGACAAGGCAGATGTAGGCCGCCGCTGCCTTCAACCTTCTTTCTGTACATAAAACAAGTCTCATCATGCCGTGCCGTGTCGTGATACATCAATCTCAACAACACACGCCGATTAGCTCTGCTTCGTCTGGATATTCCGTGATAGTCTGTCAGCGCTGACTGGTCAGACGAACTATGGACATTGGACAGGAACCTGCGAGGCGCCCGAGCGACCTCCCCCTTCGAGACGGGCTGCTGCAGACTCGCGTGGCTAAGAGACTTTGATGTACCTGCTTTGTGGCGCTGCCGTTGTTTCTTCTCCTCTCACACGACCCGGGGATACCTACATACCTACATACTACGTACATGATGGGGGAGGAAGATGAGCATGGGAGACGAGGATGGTACTCGACGGATGGCTTGCAAGGGTTGGAGCTGGATGGGATGTGTGGGGTTTTTTGGAGATGAAAAAAGAAGTGAGCTTGTGAGCAAGTGCAGCGCGTGCCGTCACTGCAGCGCACAGCTGTAGCGCGCTCTAAAATGAGGAGGGGGATGCAAGATGGACAGGTCGCCTCGCTCAGATGGACCCAGATGGGAGACGCACAGCAGGATACCGCTTCCTGTCGGTAGGGATCAGATGTCAGAAAATCAGATAGTTCTGAAAGTGCCTGAGGACAGGACATGCACTCTGTCCTTGGTTGGGCCCTGGTTGGATCGGGTTGTCGTCAAAGTTCGGCCATGGAATTGTGCGCCTAAGAGTCAAGATGAAAGAGGGAGCCGCTCTACCGCACAACACGGCAACGTTCGTTTACCGGACAGGAAATAGAGCGAGAGACAGCCGGTATTTCCGGTTCGTAACTTGTTGTGGGTGTGAATCGTCCGAATCACCTCGGTGCAGCAGGACGAACGATTGTCTTCGTAGGTCAAGACGACGGGGAAGTTTGCGGCCATGGCATATGCCAAGCCCAAAGAAAAGCAAAGCAGAACATGGGAGGAACCACGAGACCTAGTAATGTAAGATGGCATCTGTGATGCAACAACCGAGTTTGGCGATGGTGGGCCGTGTTGTCTCTGGTTTTGAAAAGATACTGTACGCCAGCGTGCCTCGAGAAGGACGTCTCGAATTTCAAAGTGGAGGTATAAAGAAATTGGCCTTGAACCGGTAATGTATCCGTACATCTCTTCCGCACCTGGTCAATCAGTCCATCACATTTGCGGTTTTGGCCCTCAGAAGACTGATGAATGAGGTTGAAACTGCGCTTTCTGGTTGCCGTGGCCGTTGCCTGCCGCGCCACGTACATACCCCCTTACAATAGAGGGCGGCTGGCATCATGCAAGATGAGAGTCGGATCACAGACAAGCTCGAGCAATTACTATTTGGTGAACGGCAAGCTCGTCAATCCCGAGTCAACGGCTGGCCGCAGCACCTGCCCGAGCAGCACTCCTGTACCCAACGAGCCGCGTTGATATTGCCAACTCGTTGCTTTACGCAAGCTGCTTCCCTGGCCGAATCTTTCTGTATACAAAAGATGATGGAGGCAGTTCCCGTACAGGATCTAGGGACTGGTGTAGTAAAGAGAAGCAAGGCCCTCATTGACCTTGAGCATTGAATATGACAGCAGGGTGGAGATGGATTCGCGACCCTACACAGTCCATTGATGTCAACTTCAAGTCTCAACTGGCCCATGCATGTTGGACGCAAAGTCCCGGCGACCCTCGCCAGAAGTTACCGACACACTGACCTGGGCAGAACCCGACCCGTCCCTGTCCTGTACAGTCACATCCTCGGCGGGACTGGTCAGCCCCAGGTCACCCCTCCTTTCCCGCAACTGGACAGACCCGAGGTGATCAAGGGACTCTGGGTGGTTCCGCAGTCCTGCCATACAGTATTCCCCATAGGCCTCATCCAGACGTAGGTATGCCAATCACACTAACTAACAACAATTCAGAATTTGCCCGATATTTGCTGACCGGTACGGAGCCCAATGCTCTGACTCTCTCCATGGCCTCAACAATGGCATCATGGACATGCCCTGGTCCCAGACTTTTGAATGAGAGCAGATGCTGGCCTCTTTGGCTAGCAGTCTGGTCACTGAGAGCACCTTGCCTTACCTTACACGGCATACAGCGCGTAGTAACTCTCCACCGCGGCCGACAAACCCTAAGGCACGCAACACCCGTTCCGCCCGAAGTGCAACAAGGACATGACTCTGCAACTCACCACAAACTCGTAAAGATGGGTCGTTTCTCGAAAACATCTATCCACACCTCATTCATTAACCTTTTTGTCCCTCATGCCTTGGGGTAGCAGCCGAGCAATCTAACCTCTGTCACAGTCCTGAGTATGTATGCCCGGTGGGCAGCGGCGTCTCACGAATTAATCAACACGTGGGCGCCAGATTCCAGTCTTGGACTCTTGATAACCATGCCCTCGGACATCTAGACTCGCCGCTGGCAGGGGGCATTCTCGGCCTCATTCATCACGACAGCTAGAATTGTCTTGGTCTAATCCACCTACATCCAGTTTCAACCCATATAAAAGTCTGATCTGGGTCCTATTAAGCTAGAATGCCATGAGCTTCGCTATCGACCTTCCGCAAACATCTGATACCCTTCCCAGTTGGAATGGGACCCAAGAGCCCCCTTGTACTGCCACTACTGCCCACCACGCCCCCTTCCAAAGTCCAAGGGACGTGCGAAAGCCATGCACTGACGCAGTAAAAGCCCGGTTGATGGGCGTCTCATCGACCCAGGCGGCACCTGTCGAGGTCGGTACTTGATCCAAATTACATACATGGCCCATGCATGCACTTCCCCGGAGCAGGTATTTATCGGTGCCTTTTCAAGTACCGGACGGATACGGCATCACATCTACAAAAGAAACGACGAGTGGAGGACAAGGCCAACCGTTCTCCAACAAGCTGAGACGGGCCTTGTTTGGATCGACGGCCACTGTATCTTAAGACGAACATGAGCGTTCAAGCAACAAGGTGCCTGGCAATGCATTCTCGCCATGTCCTGATAGCCTGTAGGCCTGTAGGTATGCAGATCAGATCGGCGACTTGTTGGATGGGTGAACATTGCCAATGCCAGGGCCTTTCTAAAGCCCGGATCCCCGACTTGCCGTTGCCAACCGGCTTCACTTCTGCCTTGTCCATGGAAGGACAGAAACACCCAGTCCCGGCAGACCGCCCCGTGAGGCCTTGACTTTGTAGTCTGTTATACGAAAAAGCGGATATTCAACAACCCTCTCGCACGGGCGGAAAAGGGACACGGGAAAGTGATGGGCTCCCCCCTGTCCTGGGTAATCACACCTGTTGCCAGACCACTGTGTCGGACCCCGTTGGTCAAGCCGGCACTCACCGGACCGCCAAGATCGGGCCATCTAATCTGACCAGCCGTAGGGGTGTCCTTGGCGCAGCCTTGTCGAGCCTGCAACATGTCATTTCTTCTTCATCTTCGACATGGCTTCACACGAGCCCAGGCATGACTCTGCTGCTTCTGACGTTTGACACTGACACTTGACAGATTAACTAACAACTCATCTATAGTGCAGTACATGAATATTTCAACCACAAGTGTCATTTCACCCCCGTGAGATGACGTTCGCTTGGCAGCTCTTTCACCGAGATCAAGGGCCGGTCCGCCAAACATGCCCATGTAATGTCTGTGTCAGATCTCGAACGGATCGATGGGAATAAGGAAAGAAGCAGGAAAAAGAAAAAGAAGACAAAATACCGAAAGACGCCATAGCCTGCCAGGCGGCACTAGAGGTTCGATTTGACATCGTGCCCGTCCTCCACCGTTTAAGCATGACTACGGTACTCCGTACTCTATGCCAGGGACGAAGCTGGGTGTCGAGAAGTACCGCTTACGGTACGACGGACATGTCCACTGCCCAGACCATGCATGCTAACCGTTCGTAAAGATTCCCTTTTCTGAGTTGGTGGCGATTGGCCCCCAGCTTCAGAAAAGCGGTATGATTTGTTGTCTGCATGTCTGCTGGAAAGGGGTATGGATCATGGGGGGCCTGCGAGGTGAAAAAAGATGAGACGAAATAGGATCCTTGCCTAGACTGCCTCAATGGAGGCAAGCCGCGGGTCAGGGACACATCGCAAGCGGGCTACCGTTCGAACTTCGGAGAGCTGCAAAAGAACAGCAAGGGCATGCAAGGATGATGTATCCGTAGTATGTGAATAGAACGGCTAGACCACGATGACCCAGTTGGCAGGTGACATGCCTCGAGGTAAGTACGGATTTAG